TGTAACTAGCGTTGTTGTCATCCTGTTTTCATCCAATAAAGTTCCTGCTATAGTTTCGAACCGAAACCACATTGAGTTTCATTTCTGGCGCTGCGAACAGGATCCCAGGCTTGGTTTCTGTCACCATTGTGAGAAATATCTAATAGACGAGCTGCCCAGCGGTGTCTCCCAGAAAACCAAAGAGTGAGTTCCTGAGAAAACTGAAGTTAGTACCAGCGAAAGCCAGGAGTTAGTATCAGACGTCGGGAAGGTCCTCCTGTTCTACTTGGACTCTCCGAGTGCCAATATCAAGTAAAAATTTCTATTCTCTTACTGGGAATTCTACCAGAAACTGTCCAGAACCATTGATTTGCAATAGAAGACAAGATGATCAGCCCCTGGATGAAGCAACAATTGATGTTACTGTCCTTGTAAGTAGTTAAGAATTACTATTAAGAAGACTTTGCAACTAAGAAGATTTAATACGTAACCATAAGAAGAATTTATCAAAAAACTCATTTCTACAGAAAAGATTTTTGCTGAAGAATCCAATTTTGAGTTTTTCAATTGAAATCTAATTTTGTGCATAGCTTTAAGTTTTGTTTTCACCTATTTTTTACTCATTTTTATCCTGCATCTTTTATACATTTTATTTTATGCCTTTTGTTAACCGTTTTGTGCCTACCGAAAGAGAAAGATCTCCTATAAGAATGGCTACTTCAAATCAACAGAATGTCGTTCAGCATGACAATCCTCAATTTTAAACATGCTAAAAGATTCAATTCCTATATTTGATGGCTATTCAAACAATCTTTCTATATTTTTAAGAAAGTCTACAAAATTCTATAACCCTTTACCTATTTCCTATAAAGGACATGCTTTAACATTTATTAAGTCTAGATTACAAGGTGAACCTGCCGAATTTACAGAACAAACTACAGTATATTCAGATAAGAGATAGACCGGACATAAACAAGACGACGTGATCATCGAACGCTGTAACACTCGGCAGAGATGTATTAAGAGTCACGCAGTACATATTTTAGATAGTAGATGCTGCTTTGCGTAACTTTGTAGTAAATTAGCACAATTCGATGTGTATACGATTGGTGACGGATATAGGATCATGTGGGGGTGGGGTAAGAAATATATAATGATGTAAATATACATAAGGGTTTCAAAATCCTCGCTTCGATTTCCAGCTTCGGATGCCGCCTGATGTTTGGTGAAATACAGTCGAATATAATCTCAAAATGGCGTTTAAATTAGCCTAAATTAAAAATAATCGTATATCTCTTAAAATTGCTTTTAGAATATTGATTAGTATATTTTTTGATTTCTAGGTAAATATGTAACCAAATTAAAACGTTCAAAACGTAAAAAAATGTGCATGGTTGAACATTGTCAGAAAGTAGATTCTTGAATAGGTTTTGCCAAAATGGGTTCAAAAATGTCAATAATTAATTAAAAAACACAGTAGCTTTATAATTACTTATAACTTACCGAATTTGATGAACGGCATCTTTTATTGGAAAGATGAGCTTGATGAGCTTTCATCATCGCTACTGCCTGAAGCACCAACGTCAATAATGAATGGCTCGACTTGTTCCTCTAAAATATTGTCCAGTTCCCACATTCTCTTTTCAACTTTGTCTTTCACGTGCTTAATACAGTTTTCCCTTTTTTGCGCTGTTATTAATTCTAGTGCTTCTTTGAAAAGTCCTTTGAGGTCACAAAATTTAAAAGTTGTGTTGTGCTTAGCTATATAATTTTTAACCTCTGCCCATATGAGCTCAATGGGATTGAGCTCGCAATGGTATAGAGGTAAACGGAGCACAGTTTTATTTTGACTTGCTGCCATTTTGTCAATGGCGTATTTTTGATATTCCGCCTTGTGATCCTTGACAATTCTTAATAATTGTACTTTCAGCATTGCTTCTTCAAAGTTGACATTTTCCGAGCGGAGCCAATTTTGAACATCAACTTTCCTTGAAGCCGTTGTTGGGACCTTCTCCATTCTTCGAGAATGATAAGGCGCATTATCCAACACAATTACTGCGTTTTCCTCTAAGTTCGGTAAAATTTTTGAAAACCACTGTTCAAACGATTCGCCATTCATTTCCTCGTGGTAATCTCCAGTTTTCTTAGACTCAAAGCACCACAGACCGTCAACAACAAATCCATCCTCACTGCCAATATGGCAGATAATGAGCCTTTTCCCTTTACCTGGAAATCGAAGTACTAACTGGTGTGGATTTATTTCAATAAGCGAACCTTTTTCAAATGTTTTCATCACATTCAGCGAAAAAACATTGAGACATGAGTATCAGATTGCTATAATTGGGATTATTTAGTCATATTGAAAGAAAGAATATTGAACGTCGTATGATTACTCAGCGCTTCACAATTTAGTTTAAAGTTATAAACCTTTAAAAAATGAATGATCAGGAACCTGAAATACGCGCAAAAATTAATATTAACAAATTATAACTTTATAAAGCTTAAAGTATGAATTAAAATGATTAGAAATATTAGGAACGGTACACAATATAAGTCTTAGTAACTTTTTTTAAGTTTATAATATTCGACATATTTTAAGATTATATTAAAAAATTATTGAAATATCGAAAACACATAAAAACATGGCTTAAAAAAGTTCTAACAAATGAAAATGACAATAAAACATCCACGCATTTTATCGAAAGTTATAAAAGTTTTGTTACTTGTAATATGTTTTATCTGCCCCCTGGAATTAATGTTTAGAACCTTGTTCCCAAGGTTTGAAAAACATCCGATTGTTGTCTATTACTCGTATTTACCTGCTGGATTTTTTAATGCAGTGGACAGTCCATCTAGAAAGGCCCTCCTGGATGAAGTTACAGAATCATCAACCCATGCTTTACTTGTAGTGTGTCCTGCGTTTACCCACGTTTCATCAAGGTAATAAATCTTCCTGTTTTGATTTCTATATTTCCCAATTTTTGTTAAATAATCCCTCCTCCATAGCACAATTTCTTCTCTATCCAGTAGTAAACTATTACGACCCCGTTTTTTCCATTTGAAATTTAAATGCTTCAGTAACGCATGGAAAGTTGATCGTTTGAAATTTGGCAACGTTGTATCTCCATTTACCTCCTGCAGTACTTTATCTATAGTAGGTATTTTATTCCTAAAGAAGAATTCATGCACTTTCCTCCTAATCGCATGCTTATCAGCTTCATCCAATGATTTAACAATACTTTTGCGATGTTTACTGGTCATTGGCTCAGAAAAGGTGTGATTTTTTTTGTATTGTCTTAACACATTAAACACTGATGCGCGACACACCCCAACTTTGTGAGAAACCTTCACAACAACTTCTTTGATGGTTGATGCCTCGTTCTCCTCGCGCTCGATCTTATATATATTCAAAATGACCTCTTTCATTTCTGCACCCAGGTGTCTTTTTTTAGAGCGTTTCCTAGGTGGACTAGAGGAGTTTACAGCTTCATCGGCAGTATCTGTACTACTGGGCATTTTGCGCAAGCAGTTGTTAACAATAACAATCAATAACAAGGTATAACAATAACAACGACAAACTCAACAACTTAATAAGATAACAAACGAAAACGTCCAAAGAAATATCAAATTGCAATGATGCACACGACATACGTAACACGTCTGAACCTGAATGTGACTCTGCCTTGATGCGACTGCTCTGCCGCTCGGCATAGGCATTTAATTGCGAATTGACCAATGAGGGCTCCTGTTTTACGTCGAGACGGCGGCGATAGCGTGAAAATCACCCGAACCTTTTGTTTACATCCGGTCTATCTCTTATCTGAATATACTGTAATCCTATTACTATTGAACATCTTTCTGCTATTTTAACCACTAGATTTAAAGATTACCAAACTGAAGAAAATTTGACTCGTTAACTTTTTGATATTCATTCCCCAGACTATAGCGTTTTACATTCAGAAATTTGTAATAAACTTCATGAATTACGAGAATTTGCTCGATTAAATTATCCTCCAGAAATTGCCCCAGCAATGATTGCTAGATATGAACAGATGGCTTCAACCTCCTTTTTATGCGGAATCAATTCCAAATATCATTGCGTTGCATTACAACCATCCCCTAAAAATATAGATGAAGCTAAGAGACGGTGCCAACAATATAAAGAGTTTCTCGTCACTAAGTCTAAGCCTCAGACAAATAAACCTGTTAGACCGCCAATGCAGTCATATAGACCTAACTTTCCCAATTTTGCTAATTTCTCTCATAATCCCTCTACTTCTCGTCCCGCTATTACTTATGGACAACAATTTAGCAACCCACAATCATTTCACAATTCTCGTCCAACTTTTAGACAACCATTCTGTACTTCCCCACAAAGTCGTCAATTAACAATACTTTTGCGATGTTTACTGGTCATTGGCTCAGAAAAGGTGTGATTTTTTTTGTATTGTCTTAACACATTAAACACTGATGCGCGACACACCCCAACTTTGTGAGAAACCTTCACAACAACTTCTTTGATGGTTGATGCCTCGTTCTCCTCGCGCTCGATCTTATATATATTCAAAATGACCTCTTTCATTTCTGCACCCAGGTGTCTTTTTTTAGAGCGTTTCCTAGGTGGACTAGAGGAGTTTACAGCTTCATCGGCAGTATCTGTACTACTGGGCATTTTGCGCAAGCAGTTGTTAACAATAACGATCAATAACAAGGTATAACAATAACAACGACAAACTCAACAACTTAATAAGATAACAAACGAAAACGTCCAAAGAAATATCAAATTGCAATGATGCACACGACATACGTAACACGTCTGAACCTGAATGTGACTCTGCCTTGATGCGACTGCTCTGCCGCTCGGCATAGGCATTTAATTGCGAATTGACCAATGAGGGCTCCTGTTTTACGTCGAGACGGCGGCGATAGCGTGAAAATCACCCGAACCTTTTGTTTACATCCGGTCTATCTCTTATCTGAATATACTGTAATCCTATTACTATTGAACATCTTTCTGCTATTTTAACCACTAGATTTAAAGATTACCAAACTGAAGAAAATTTGACTCGTTAACTTTTTGATATTCATTCCCCAGACTATAGCGTTTTACATTCAGAAATTTGTAATAAACTTCATGAATTACGAGAATTTGCTCGATTAAATTATCCTCCAGAAATTGCCCCAGCAATGATTGCTAGATATGAACAGATGGCTTCAACCTCCTTTTTATGCGGAATCAATTCCAAATATCATTGCGTTGCATTACAACCATCCCCTAAAAATATAGATGAAGCTAAGAGACGGTGCCAACAATATAAAGAGTTTCTCGTCACTAAGTCTAAGCCTCAGACAAATAAACCTGTTAGACCGCCAATGCAGTCATATAGACCTAACTTTCCCAATTTTGCTAATTTCTCTCATAATCCCTCTACTTCTCGTCCCGCTATTACTTATGGACAACAATTTAGCAACCCACAATCATTTCACAATTCTCGTCCAACTTTTAGACAACCATTCTGTACTTCCCCACAAAGTCGTCAATTTTCGAACACATTGAACCCCTCTCAACACAATTTTGCAAATCGTCCACAATTTCCTATGAATAGGCTCCCTGTCACCAATACTTCAAGACAAAATAATCCAGATCATCCTACGCCTATGTCAACTTCGACGATCCAGTCACGTAGACCTTTTGTAAGACCCAATTTCTTTTCGAATAATGGTCAACGCCCTAGCATAGCTGTTCAAGAACTTACTAATAACGAATCCGAACCCACTAATGAAAGCTCTACAGAAAATGTAGCAAGCCCCTTCGAATCTTATTAGTCTGAAGCTTGTTGTCCAGAAAATCTCGTAGAAGATCAATATCAATATTATGAAAACGATAATTCTCAAGAAAATTTTCAATCAACTCCTCATCAACAATCCCCAGAATAGACACTGATTTAAACTCTTATGAAAATATTCATCTCCCATATCTCTACAGTGAAGCTTTGGATTTACTTATTCTTATAGATACAGGTGCTTCTGCATCTCTTATGAATCCCCAAATTGCTTACGACAAATTTCCGGATTATATTTATCCAAAATGTTTTTCTATCAAAACAGCAATTGAAACCAAAACTGGTACTCACGCTTGTAAGATCCCTATCTTTGATGATCTAGGTATTCCGACAGAAGTTGAATTCTTATTACTCCCATGGCATCAAAAATATGATTGTCTTTTAGGTTACTGTGACCTACAGAAATTCCACAGTAATTTTTACATTTCCCATAATTTACTTTCCATCGAAAACTTTGAAATTCTATGTCATACTCATAAGGAACCAATCAAAATTCCCAATCAGATTTTCGACACCATTCCTATAGACACAAATGAAGATTCTGTATTTATCCCCCATGTCAAATACTCGAATTCAGAAAATTACACTCCTAGTTATATTTGCCCTGTCAGATAAAAAGATTCTATTTCCTGAAAATCTCAAATTAATTGAAAGTCATAACATTCAATTCGAATCAATTTCCGATTATGAAATTTCGAATCCTAATCCCTTGCCCAAATCTCCGAACATGTCTGATCTTATTCGTACAGAACACATGAATTCCGAAGAAAGACTTCACATTTTAAATCTCTGTAAAAACTTCCCTCAAGCTTTCTTAAAGCCCAACGAAAAATTAAAACCCTGCACAGCTACTAAGCATTTTATTCGAACATCTAATGATGATCCTATTTTCGTTAAATCTTTTCGTTATCCCTATTTCTTGAAACAAGAAATTCAAAAACAAGTCACTAAACTTCTAGACTATAAAGTCATTCGCCCAAGTACTTCACCCTACTCTTCTCCCGTATGGGTTGTTCCTAAAAAATTAGATGCTTCTGGTATTAAAAAATACCGCATGGTCATTGATTTCCGAAAATTAAACGACGTCACTATTGAAGATAAATATCCTCTCCCCCGAACAGAAGAAATTCTAGAAAATCTTGGAAAAGCAAAATACTTTTCGACTCTTGACTTAGCACAAGGATTTCATCAGATCCCCATGGATCCACGTTCTGTTGAAAAGACAGCCTTTACAGTTGAAAACGGCCACTACGAATATGTTCGTATACCTTTTGGTCTAAAAAACGCCCCTGCCACATTTCAAAGAATGATGAATACTGTCCTCTTACCTTTTATTGGAAAAATTTGTTTTGTGTATCTTGACAATATAATTATTTTCTCAAAGTCCTTACAAGATCATATAGTTCACTTAAAACACATTTTTCAGCAACTTATTTCCCATAATTTAAAAATCCAATTAGGCAAAACTGAAAACTGAATTTATACGAAAAGATGTCCCTTTCCTGGGCCACACTATTACTCCAGATGGTAATAAACCCAATCCAGATAAGATTAAGGCTATTAAAGAATTTCCTCTTCCAAGAACTCTTAAGCAAATTCAGTCATTTCTCGGTTTAGCCAATTACTATAGAAAATTCATTAGAGACTTGGATTCTCTCACCAAACCTTTGACAAAATGTCTAAAGAAAGGAGAAAAGATTCCCGTTTATTCAAATGAATACATTTCTGCATTTCATTCTATGAAAGAAGTACTTTGTAATCTCCCAGTTCTTACTTATCCAGATTTTTCTAAACCTTTTACGGTCACAACTGACGCTTCAAATATTGCCCTTGGTTCCGTCCTATCTCAAAACGGAAAACCTATCGCTTATCATTCTAGAACACTGAATTCTGCAGAACGTAATTATTCCACAATTGAAAAAGAACTTCTATCCATTGTCGACTCTTGCAAATCTCTTCAAGAAACTTTTGAAAATAATACAAGAAGAATTCAGTCAATTATTATTCATAATGTCCAAACTATTGAACATCAGTCTTTGTTATCACACCAGACGATCCATCAGATCTCAATTATTACAAATTTGCAACGATTTAATTCATATCTAAATTCACTTTTATTAGTTCTAAAATTGAACCAGCAAACAGGTCTCAACACCTTACAATTATCTCATCATCAGATTACCTTACTTATTGAACATTTAAAATCCATTTATAAAGACGAAGAATTATTGCTATTCGACAAAATACATTTATTTGTGATTTATGATCTTTCCCTTTTATCACTTATACTTTTAGAAAACCAACTTATTTTTGTAGTTGAGTTTCCCATTTTAGATGTTAGAACTTATTCCTTATTCAAGTTATTTTCAATCACAGTCAAAAAAGAATTAGTAAAATTACCAAGTGATTATATTTTATACTTTATTATGGAGTTAAGCAATCAGCTGTATGTTTGCACAAATACTTTCCAGTCGCCATGTCAACCACTTAAGTTAGACACTTGTGAGTCTGAAAGTCTAGTAAACTACACGCGAATCCTAGAATTAAGTAAGAACAATTATGTAATCGACACTAATGTTTTAACAAAAATCAAGGATTGTAAAGGAATCCATCATATTCATTTTACTACTCACATAATTTTAGAATGTCATACATTTATTAATGATCAAATATTAGAATTTGACTCTAATTATGAAATTGAATTAGAATTATCCTTCAGAGGTGACAACGATAAATATTCATTTAAGAAAACAAACACTTCACTCGAATCTCATTTCGAAAAAAATCTCACTTCACTTCAAGTTCATTTTGAAGATTTACAGTTTCATTCTACTATAAGTTATCCTGTTATTTTTACTACTGTAATTATTTTATTGGTTTTATTTATAACAATTTTTGTTAGATACCGTTATGTAAAGGATACTAAAACTGCACCTCAAAGTAGTGATATTTAAGAAACTTCTCCTTCAAATTAAAAGTTCAAATCATTTTTTGAGATTGGAGACCAATCTTTCCGAGGAGGGAGGAGTTATGGAATCCTGATGATTACCATTTCAACGGTACGGCTAACACCGTCCCGATGCCCTTGTGATTAGCGCCGTCCATCCGGTTCCTAGTTACAGCGTTAGGTGTTATCTTTGTGAGAACATTCCTGACTTTGCATTTTGCTATATTTTACTTCTTATAAACTGAATATGTAATGTAACTAGCGTTGTTGTCATCCTGTTTTCATCCAATAAAGTTCCTGCTATAGTTTCGAACCGAAACCACACTGAGTTTCATTTCTTATATTGCCGAATACGACAGTTTGGTCTTTTTTCTTATCGCCCACATCTAGTGCCACCTCTCACAGCCGAACATAGGCGTAACCGTTTGCTCTGGTGTAGAGAAAGAATTCTGTGGAACCGGGAATGAAATCAGGTGGTCTTTAGTGACGGATCCCGCTTCTGCCTGGGGATGCACGATGGTCGGGCAAGGGTGAGAAGGCAATGTAGTGAAAGACGTGACCAATGATTTGACACCGTGGGAGTTATAGTATGGAGTGCTATTGATTATGGTAGCAGATCACCACTAATTTTCATCAGAGGCAATATCACAGCCCGATGCTCTATTCAGGAAGTAGTCGAGCCTCACCTTATTCCATACCTAAACATCATGCAAAACCCGATTTTTCGGCAAGACAATGTCAGACCGTATGTTGCCAGAGCATCGTTAGCCTTCGTTGATCAACTTCGCAACAACCGTTTACCTTGGCCACCACGATCGCCTGACCGATCTCCAATTGACCATATCTGGGACATGATAGGACGCAGTGGCTTGAATTCGCAATACACTCCACAGACTTTAGCAGCTCTTACTCACGAAGTTGCAGTAGCATGGAATGAGAAACCCCCTAGAGGATAACGACCACCTTATCAGCATGATACCCAGGCGTGTCAATGAGTGTATAAGAAATCGTGGATCCTCAGCATATTTTACTAGTGAGAAACACTGGAAGTAGATTCCAAATATTGTCAAAATCGGATAAACATACGTAGGTGTTTACTTTTTTTTTTGTCATTCAGTATATCTTTAGCCATTGGTTTATTGAAATAATGCGTAAACAGAAGTATCTTAAAATAACTGCCTAACAACCCAACACTTATCTGATGGCCACCCTTTCTCGAGGGATATGTTGCTAGCTAACCGACCCGCTTGCCAAAACCAGGCTAACTTGCAATCTATCGTGATTTTACATTTTCCTAAGTTGTTTATTGGTTTAATCGCAATCTGTTGTGAGGACCGAGCACGCATGATCAACATTACTCATTTAGTTTTTACATTAATCAAAATTTAGATTTACTAAAAGTTTGTACTTATTCTTCATCTGACACATTCGATATTTTGATATTAACGGAAACGAGGCAGGTACTCTGCCTCTTATATATACTAAGTGACATATAAATCCGAACACCCAGTTTAAATGGTTTTAT